GTGGGATGGGTCCGGGGGCCTGCTAAAGCAAGGAACCGCGGAGAGATGACGACGGCCGACCCTCGGGCATCCGTGGCCGGCGCGGGGGACCGAGAGGTATTTTACGTCTCTCTCTGGCTGCTCGGAGAGGACGGCCCGGGCCGGTCAGGGTGGTGCAGGCCCTGTCAGCGAGGTCTGGACTCTGGAGAGGACGGCCTACCCATGGGTACCTGGACAGCTGGCCGCCGGGCCGGGTCGCGCAGGGAGGCGGTGCAGGGTCAGGGAGGTGCCGAGAGGACTGTCTGCCGACCCGCGGGGCACCTGTGGCTGGCCGCCGGACAGCTGGCCGCCGCTCCGCGCAGGTGCGCCAGCTGGCCGGTGCCGCCGCCGGCGGCGCCACGGCGCGTGCCACGGCGGCGGCAGTGAGGTGCCGACCGGCCAGCGGACAGGGTCGGCGGACGGCGGACGCTCGGTGCACCGGCCACCATGCAGATCCGAGACGCTCAGTTCGCCTGGCCGTCGGACATGGACGTCAAGGAGGCCATTGTGCAGGTGGGGCGGCCAGCGGGGCGGAGCCGTCATTGGCAGGGAGCTGCATTTAATAGATGAACTTTAGAGGTCTGAAGGAGTTTGCCGTGTAGGTATTGGGAAGGACTAGTGGTGTCCATCGGCTTTCAACATTTTTTTTTTCGGTTAAAAAGATGCCAATTCGGTATTTGTACCTATTCCATCGAATAGTTTTGGTATTTCGCCGGTATTTTGATTTTTGATGCTCCTCTAATCCAGTGGGAGTCTGCCTAGAACGTTATTTTTGCTCATTTCTGCATGACGGGTCATGTCATTAATTATTAGGCCAAGGTCTGCGTTCAGACAAGTCCCAACACATTGGAAACCACACTTTGCCTCCATATTCGCTCGTGGAGGAATTGGTCCTATAGGTTTCCAATTGAAATGCGGATGGTGCCTTACACTGACGTGTCCATTTATGCGCATGCAAGCTTTGTAGGTGACGACTTATGATATTTAAATCATTTTTGGCTGACATTGATTTGATTCTGGCTTCCCCAAATTTCTTCACAAGAGCCGACACGTTGAGAACCCTGCAGTTGTGGGCTGGTGGCACTTTCAAATGTCTGGCTATTTTGGTCCTGTGGCTCTAAATATCCGTAATATTGAGGCAGGCTCCTGGTACTCGGATGGTGGATGATGTGGCTATCATCGTTCATTTTCTTTCGGGAACATTCCCCTCTCATTTCACATGCTGAAAATAAGAGCAGGGATAAATACAAGTGACCATTGAACTTTGTAAGAGTGGCAGATGCGCCGATGACTTCTGTAGTCCAGGCGCCGTGAAATGCTTTGTGTGTAAATTATTGCAACTATGTTTTTATATTTTTCTATATTAACGAAACAGCGTAGTATGCATATGGGGAAGACTTTTCCTCTCAACTTATCGAGGTATTCAGCATTCACTTTATTTCGCTGCGCATTCGCTTATTGTCTTCGGTGTAATTCTGACGCGCGCACTGGCATACCTGTGGGCTGATAGCAGCATTCTGTTGTGAATTGTGTCGTTAGTGGCCAAGGCCCATGTGGTCTGGAACCTGGCACAGGGTGGAATGTGAAAAGTGGAGAGTGGCGCTGGAATACCCGTTCCAGCCGGATCTGTGGCGGTGCGGTCACCGCTGAGTAGGTACTGACCGGCTAGCGGTAACTACCCACCGATCGGAGCGAACGGTGCGGGTCAATTGACCGGGGACACACGCCGGCTGGTCTAGCGTTTAAAGATTTATGTTTTTCATGAATTAGTTGACATGATCTGTGGAAAGTCAATGACAAATTTATCCTTATTCGCACCCCCTGTGTCTAATGACGCTCATTTCGCACTGCAACGCATGCTGTGCCCTGCCTTCACCTCTGGTGTATTTACTGTCATGTCTTCACCTATAGTGTTATGGATCAGTATGGAACGCCGTGTTGACGGCCACGTGAGGGTGTCCGAAAGAGTGCTCACTGTGATAATATAGTAGGTGCGGTCGGTCAATAGTGGTTGATCCTCTGGCACGCGACGGTGTTGAAACTGCACCGCCACGACGCAATGGAAATAGCGCCCTATCTCCTCCCTTTTCGTTCCCGTTTCGTGTGCTTCCCCCTCGTCCTGTCCCGATCAGTTTTGTTCCCGTATTCCCATAGACCCGGGAACAGGGGGGGGGGGCAGCGGGGGCGCTTGCCCCCCCAACTTGGGAGCCGAGGGGGCGGCGCCCCCTCAACATTGAGGCAGCGGGAAAGGATCTTTCCTCCCTTTTCCGGACTTCTTTCCTTCTTGTTTCCTTCATACCTACATCTAAACATCAACACACGGCATTTTCCTTGCCATCTGAATGGTTTCTGCTGATATGTACAGTATCGATTTGACAACATCTGCTGTTGTCATCCCGCTTTGGTTTGAGCCTGACCTTGGCCATAAGTTATAATATAAGGCCATATTTTATAATGGACCATTTTGAGTCAACTTTGAGAAATACATAACGTACATACAACGGTGGTAAAATCGTTGCTATAGGTATATCACAGTTTACCCGATCCGGGTGTGAGGGAGGGGTGTAGGGCGATGAGTGCACTGACGTGGCGGCTGGCGCCCTCGGAGGGCCGGTATGAGATTAAGGCGGCGTTTGATGTCTCCCGGACGGCAAAGATTCTTTGCCGTCCAGCCAATCCCGTCCAAGGTCAGCGGGGGCTCGGCTGCGGTTATGAAACGTGATTGGCCGGACGGCGTAGAATCTTCGCCGTCCGAGAGACATCGAACGCGGGGTAAAGCTCAGTGACACTAAGGGCTTGTGTGGTGCCTTCAGTTATCGGTAGCACCCTCAGAATAACCGGCGCAGGGCCCTCAGAGCCGCCGGTAAGGGGCCTTTAGAGTTCAGAGGCACTGGTGTGGGGCCGTCATGCAGGTGTCGGTGTGGGCTGGGCACTCAGAGGTGCTAGTGTGTTTCTCTCAGAGGCGCCGGTGAGGGTCCTTACAGGCGTTGCTGTAGGTCCTCATAGACGCTGGTGTGGAGCCGTTACAGACGGGTGTGGGGCCTTTAGAGCTGCTGACGCGAGCTCTCTACAAGCCGGCAGGGGGTCTCAGTGACCGGCAAGGGGCCCTTAGGCCGACAGAAGAAGTCCTGTGGGGTCCTTAGAGACCGGCATGGTACTTTCAGACGCCGGTGGGGCCCTCAGAGTCACCGGTGTGGGGCCCTCAAAAGTCACCAGTGGATGGCCTTTAGATGCGCATTGCGCAGGTGTTGGTTGGGTCCTCGGGGCGCCGATATAGGGCTTTTAGGCACTGGTGTAGGCACTCAGAGTTCGGGGTGTGAAACCCTCAGAGACACCGATATGGCCGTGGGCCATCATAGGCGCCGATGAGGGCCCCACAGTTGCCGTTATGGGGCCCTCAGAAAAATAAGTGCGGGACCATTACAGTCGGGAAATGCCCCTAGAAGTGGCCCCTCATAGGCCGGTAAGAACTCTCAAGAGGCCAGTAAAGGGCCTTTGGAGACCACCGAGGGGCTCTTAAAAGTTATAAGAGGCCCTCAGAAGCCGGCATGGGGCCCTTATGGAGATCTTAGTGTGGCTATTTGGGGCCCATGAGGTACCTACTCTAACGAGCCCCACGGGGCCCTTCGAAGTCGAAATATGGCAATCGTTAGTCCTCAGCGGTCCAATGGCGCCGCAGGGCCCCTCGGACCCGAGGGACCCTTTGAACCCGATGGGGTACGTGTCCCCTTAGGCTTAGACCCCTAGCTACGCCACTGTTTCATATGCATCATGTCAGGTATTTTAGGCTCGCCCCCCCCCCCCCCCAACTTGAAAATCGTTCCCGGGCCCCTGCGTATTCCGGACATGTTAATTATTGTTTCCATTTTCCGTGGTATCCTTTTCACCGTCATTGGTCCTGACGCGATGGGCTCTGAAGAAATGACGCTGTCCAAGCTGTGGTGCACCGATTTAATGTCATATTGCACCGGTTCAACATCTGGCGTGAGGTGGGGTGCGCTCCCGTTGAATTCGCTGTCGGACTGTCGGTATAGGGCGTTAGTTGAAACTCATGGTCTGGTGGATTAAAAAAAAAACAATGTTTTCTGTTGAAAGGGTACTGTAGAAACCTTTTTTTGCAAAAATATAATTTACTTGAACCTTATGTCTCGACTTTAAAACACGGTGTCTTTTGTATAGCATTGGCCGGCCATATTCGTGCTAGAATGATATTCGTGATCAGTATGTTTGTAAGATTCCATCAAGCTAACTGGATATTTTCACTAGCTTGGCGGATGTCTCCCATCGAGGACTGGGAAAGGCTGGTTCGATTTTCCACCACTTCGTCGGTCTATTAGAGTGGTGAACTGATGCGTTTTTCCCCATAGCTAGTAAGAGGTCACTGCCATAAAACAGGCGTAATCAGAACGCTGACATATAATGCCCACAAAAAAAGGCAGGGTATCGACATTAAGATATGTTTTGATCAATGAGGGATGAAGAAGCTCCGCACCAATATAGCGTAAATGCCTTAAATTATTTCGCGTTGATTCTACGTTCATCCGTCCGCGGTATGATGACGTACTCTGGTTTGACGTCATTATCGAGTGACGCCATACTTTGCCTTAGTCTATATCTGGTGGCATTCGCAGCTCTAAGAAGTCGATGGCATTAAAAATAAGTCGGCATGTCACTGGCGTATTATGGCATCCCGACTAGATAGCCTTGATTCCGACTTTCATGGTCAGACGTGATGCTTTGATGATTTACCTAATGATGTTTGTGTCGCACGAGCCTCGCAGACCGTGTTTGTGTCAGTATTATTTATTATATATTTCCTATTCAGCAAGGATTATAAATATGGTGTAATGCGTATTTATGCATTCAGACTGGCCATGGATAAGAGATAGGTACATGCTGGCATAAATGCCTCCCTCGTCCATCTTCTGGGTTAATGAGTTGCGCAGCAATGTTTGTAACATCTTGTCCGTTCTGTGTTTCAGTTACAAAACATCCAGAATGTGATACGGTTGAAAAAGGAGAATGTAGATGCGCTGAACGCCAAGTTCGCCGGCTTCCAGCACCCGCCCAATATGTACCTGGATGTAAGTACCGCCACCGGCACTCGCTCGCAGTGTGCCACCTTTGATTATGGTTTGTTCATGTTACCAGTTTTGATGGTTTTACAAGTCGTCGGTTATTTTAAGATTTACACGTTGATATTGCGAATGTGATGTGTCATTAGCAATGGGTGCAAAATGTGTTTGTAAGCTACCTTTGTAATGTCACAAGTTTCGGTTATTTGGTTGCAATATCTCAATTTGTCTTCGCTTTTTTTCGTAGCCGTCATTGGTGTTACTACCATAGAGATCTTATAATATTATAAGATCTCTATAATATTATATTATACCATAGAGATCTTATAATATTATAAGATCTCTATGGTTACTACGAAGAGTCGTCCTGAAATACTTTGAAGCCGCGCAGATATTTGTTATACCCGTCCTGTCACCTATTCGGCTGCCCTTCCGTCCTCCCAGTCACATCGCCACCCTGAACGTGCCGCAGGAGTACAACGAGCTGACGCACAAGCTGCACGAGTTCGAGGCGCGCCGGCAGGAGCTGCAGGAGGCGATCGCTCGCGGCGCCAGCACCAACGGGGGCCTGGACGGCGCAGGGGCCGGCGGCGAGACCGTCGAGCGGCCGGTGCCTCACGTCTCCTCTGGTGAGTGTCCGGCGCGGGGAGGGGTGCTGATCCGGGGAGGCTGGGGAGTGAGGAAAGAAGGCAGGGATGTGGTAGTGGGTGGTGTGAAGACTGGAGATACATTTGGTAGAAGTTGTTTTTCCTGCAGCTCGTACAAAGCAGTGCAGTGCCTATTGAGGTGTAGTTTGTGCCGGGATGTTAAGTGCGGGTTGGTTTGTAGCTGTCCTCTGTGGGATTGTGCTGTGGGGGACGACCTTTGCCAGTTGGTGCTGAAGTGAATATGAATGTGATCTGTTCTAACTAGGTGGCGTTCGGGTGTTGTAGTACATCAGCTGTCCAGTTGCTGGTAGGTAGCGCTGGAGTCCTGCGGTGGAGTCCTCCCGCACCGGCAGTGGACGAGTTGTGCGGGCGATAGATGTCGCGGAGGTGGTTAGCTTTGGAGATTGATTGGCGTAGATGCGGTTAGGCTGCACTGGTTGCAATAGTTGTCCAATGTCTAGGTGCAATTCCACTGCGACGGGCCTACAGCTTCGCTAGGCGGTGCATCTGTCGTTCGTGGTCTCATGGACGTCATCTGTTAAGGCCTTGGAACTAAGGGCAGAAAGTTCCAGGGATTTGATGGTGGAGACACTGTTTTTTGGGGGGAGGGGTCACGAATGTCATAAAAGGCTGACTGTTCCATTACTAAGATCCTGCGGGACATGCTTTGCAATTCATAACGGTCCCACTTGCTGCAACGAGCGCTAGGTACTTGGTGGAAGTTCCGCTTTGTTTTCCATATTTAAATCTGAATGTTTTAAATGTGCCTACATAAATTAACATTGCTGCTTATGGTTTGCATTGTTTTCGTCCCGATCGTGACGCCTTCATCTTGATATCCGCAGACTGAATGTAATATCATGACAGTTGTATACAAAGTTGTAATAGCGCTGCACAACGATAATTTGCTGTCTTTATCGCAAAGGGAACGCCGTTCCCTTTGCTCATTGAATGCATTCAAAGGCTCAGACTCAATAGTCGTTCAAACTCACAAAAGCCTGACAACTGAGCCTCACTCATTGCCCAGGTTGATGCGTGTCGGATGCTATTGAAAAGCGGAATCATTGAGCCTCGAGGCAACATTTGCCTTTCCAGGATTAGTTTGAATGTGCGGTACTTTCCCCAAAAAACACATCGTCTCTGTATCCAAGTATCTCCTCCTCCCCCCCCCCCACCCCCCCCCCACACACACACACTCGCAACTACTGGTACTCGTGCCGGAAACTCAACTGAAACTGAATGTCTGCGCGCTGGGAGCTGGCTGTCTCCAGATCCGGCTGCAGCCCTGCCGATAATGACTCGGGGGTTCTTTCTGTGCGCTGAGGAGTGCGCATCCCTCCGGTGACATCCGGGTGGCTGTGGTCTGTCGTGACGCCACTGCGGCTCCCGCGGCTCGGCCGGCACCTAATTAGCCGTATTGGCACCGGCTCGGGGACTATGGGCGGCCGCGCTGTCGCGCCGAGCGTCCCCCTTTCAGCGGTATTGCGCCGTCGCTGGCGCCTTGGCTGGCGGCGATTAATTTAAACCGGCCTAGTACGCCGCGGTGGGCCGGTGATCATTTCGGGTTCGGGAATGAATTTTACGGTGACGTAGGTCCTGTCCCCGCTGCGCCGGCTGACGGGCTGTCCGGGCGGTGCGGGGTCCGTCTCGGGCTGCACAGACCGTCTGTCTGACCGAACGGAGCCCCGCTGCCGGACGGTGTTGGGGTAGGACGACCTCGACTGGTCTGTTTGGTATGCGGGCGGCCGCCCGGAGCCGATATGTCAGCCGGCGGTCCGGCCGGCCCGCTTGTGCATGAGTGTCTGCCGGCGCGCGGCGTCTGTGTCTATTTCGGGCCGTGTTTGGAGCGTGCCGTCGGAGCTATCGATTTGCCGGTATTTGCCCGCGACCCGGCAGACCCGCCGCGTATGTATGTGTGCCGGCGTGCGTGTGTGCTGATGCAACGGCTCCCGTTTCGGCCTGGCGCGTAAACGACCCGGAGCCACGTGCGCTGCTAACATTCACCGCTCGCAGTCCGCTCAGTAGTGACGCGGATGTGGAAAAATGACACGGAGATGACTATGAGAGCGTCTCCGAGCTGCCGGAGAGACAAGTGTCCTACGTCATACTGTGATATTGTATAAGGCTTGTGGGTTTCACCAGTGTCTACTATGTAGCATGTTGACGGAATGCGGGGACCAGTTCTTTCTGTGACCTGTCGCCGGACCTTGCGTCGGAGAACCTCTGTGTCGTTTGTGGCGCTAATTGAGATAGTTGTTTGTTGCGCCTCCGACAACTTGGGTGGAAGTCTCTACCCGTGTGTGTACTGTGTAGTGTATCCGCTTGGATAATCAATATAGACGTGCTCCTTTAGATGTCTGTCCAAGCGGCGTGACACTCGTCTGCTAATCATATTCTGCCCTTGCCGTTTTGAACCGCCTCATCCGATTGAACATTCCATCACCAACCGTATCTGACACCCTAGAATACAACATTCTAGCCAACGCGCTTCTCGGCCCCATCTAACCTACCCCTCGTCTCTCTCCCAGGAGTCAGCGTAGGCAGCTGCGGCTCACCGGCGCCCGTGCCGCCGTCACCTCTAAAGGCCTTCATCAGGGCGCACCTGCCCAACCAGCAGCGCACCAGCGTCACCGTCCGGTACGGCGTCACCGTGCGAGAGGCCCTTTCCAAGGCGATGAGCCTGCGCAAACTCACCCCGGAGACCTGCGTGGTATATCAGTGCTCCAAACCCCAGGTGAGCGGTGGGTGGTGTACCAGTGCTCCAAACCCTAGGTGAGTGGTGGGTGGTGTACCAGTGCTCCAGACCCCAGGTGGGGGGGGGGGGGTACCAGTGCTCCAAACCCCAGGTTGGGGGGGGGGTGTACCAGTGCTCCAAACCCCAGGGTGAGTGGTGGGTGGTGCAGTACCATTGCTTCAGACCCCAGGTGGGGGGGGGGGGTACCAGTGCTCCAAACCCCAGGTTGGGGGGGGGGTGTACCAGTGCTCCAAACCCCAGGGTGAGTGGTGGGTGGTGTACCATTGCTTCAGACCCCAGGTGGGGGGGGGGTACCAGTGCTCCAAACCCCAGGTGGGGGGGGGGGGTGTACCAGTGCTCCAAACCCCAGGGTGAGTGGTGGGTGGTGTACCATTGCTTCAAACCCCAGGTGGGGGGGTACCAGTGCTCCAAACCCCAGGGTGAGTGGTGGGTGGTGTACCATTGCTTCAGACCCCAGGTGGGGGGGGGGGGGGGGGGTACCAGTGCTCCAAACCCCAGGTGAGCGGTGGGTGGTGTACCAGTGCTCCAAACCCTAGGTGAGCGGTGGGTGGTGTACCGTTGCTCCAAACCCCAGGTGAGCAGTGAGCGGTGGGTGGTGTACCGTTGCTCCAAACCCCAGGTTGTGGTGGTGTACCGTTGCTCCAAACCCCAGGTGAGCGGTGGGTGGTGTACCGTTGCTCCAAACCCCAGGGTGAGTGGTGGGTGGTGTACCAGTGCTCCAGACCCCAGGTGGGGGGGGGGGGGGTACCAGTGCTCCAAACCCCAGGGTGAGTGGTGGGTGGTGTACCAGTGCTCCAGACCCCAGGTGGGGGGGGGGGGGGGGTACCAGTGCTCCAAACCCCAGGTTGGGGGGGGGGGGTGTACCAGTGCTCCAAACCCCAGGGTGAGTGGTGGGTGTTGTACCGTTGCTCCAAACCCCAGGTGGGGGGGGGGGGTACCAGTGCTCCAAACCCCAGGTTGGGGGGGGGTGTACCAGTGCTCCAAACCCCAGGGTGAGTGGTGGGTGGTGTACCGTTGCTCCAAACCCCAGGTGGGGGGGGGGGGTACCAGTGCTCCAAACCCCAGGTTGGGGGGGGGGGTGTACCAGTGCTCGAAACCCCAGGGTGAGTGGTGGGTGGTGTACCAGTGCTCGAAACCCCAGGTGGGTAGTGGGTGGTGTACCAGTGCTCGAAACCCCAGGTGAGGGGGGGGTGTACCAGTGCTCCAAACCCCAGGGTGAGCGGTGGGTGGTGTACCATTGCTCCAAACCCCAGGTGGGGGGGGGGTGTACCAGTGCTCCAAACCCCAGGGTGAGCGGTGGGTGGTGTACCATTGCTCCAAACCCCAGGTGGGGGGGTGTACCAGTGCTCCAGACCCCAGGTGGGGGGGGGGTACCAGTGCTCCAAACCCCAGGGTGAGCGGTGGGTGGTGTACCATTGCTCCAAACCCCAGGTGGGGGGGGGGGGGGTACCAGTGCTCCAGACCCCAGGTGGGGGGGGGGGGTACCAGTGCTCCAAACCCCAGGGTGAGCGGTGGGTGGTGTACCATTGCTCCAAACCCCAGGTGGGGGGGGGGGTGTACCAGTGCTCCAGACCCCAGGTGGGGGGGGGGGGTACCAGTGCTCCAAACCCCAGGGTGAGCGGTGGGTGGTGTACCATTGCTCCAAACCCCAGGTGGGGGGGGGGGGGTACCAGTGCTCCAGACCCCAGGTGGGGGGGGGGGGGGTGTACCAGTGCTCCAAACCCCAGGTTGTGGTGGTGTACCATTGCTCCAAACCCCAGGTGAGCGTTGAGGGAGGGGGGCGTGGTGGAGGGCGGAGGGCAAAACAGGGGAGAGTCATGGTAAATATTACAGGTGAGTGCAACAAACTGGGGTTTCGTGAAATTAAGTGTTCTATTCGAAAGGTTCCTAATGGCGGTACCTTAGACTGCGTCTGTTTGAATTAACACTTAACAGCAAAGATATCAAAGACGGCTGCAGCTGCTGTGTGTCCCTTAGACTAAATTATGTGCGGCCTCGCTGTTTTCTGGTTCACTGCCCGATGCATGTCCCTGTTCCTAAAGGCCACAAAGTACATACATTCCCGTACGTTCCCGTTTGACTGACTTCACCGTCCGCCAGATCCGGATACCATGGGACGCGGACATTACGTCACTGGACGTGGACGAGATCCGTGTGGAAGTGATCCACATGACCCCAGTCACCACCAGTATATCGCACAACTTTGTGAGTACCGCCGGCGCCGCGGGGAGGGGGGGGGGGGGGGTCCGGCCGCGGTGAAACATGTGAAGAACGGGGGATGATTAACGCAGCTGGTTTTTATTGGCTAGATTCGATACTTTGTTGGTGGAACCGCTTAATGATATGTACGACGGAATGATGTACAACGTGGCAAGCATAGCGACAATGTATTTGCTATTAAGTAAGGGAACAGAATATGGCTGTGACGACTAAATGGTCATATTGTGCTTCACAAGCTTTGCATAGTGCTACCATATAGTTTTTTATTGTTAACTACCGGCTATTACACGATTACTAGAAGCGGCCGTGACAGCTGCGATCAGCCAGTGTGCTGTGATAAGTGTTGCTGGCTGGCGACACATGTGTCTCCCTTTTAATCACCTGTGCCACACCGGCCGCCTCGCCTCCCCGAACTGTCGTCTGACCATGACCTCTGGACGTCCTCAGGTGCGCAAGACGTTTTTCCCGCTGGTGTTCTGCAGCTTCTGTCGGCGGGTGCTGTTCACGGGCTTTGTGTGTCGCACGTGCGACTACAAGTTCCACTCTAACTGCTCGGAGAAGCTGCCGCCGCTCTGTCAGTCGGTGGTTAACGTCAACGTCACCAACTACCAGCAGTGCGTGGCGGGACGGGAGGGAGACGAAATGGAGGGTGGGAGAGAGACCGTTAAAGGAGGGAGACCGAACGGAGAGGGTGACCGGGCCACAATATCAGCTGCGGCACACATGCAGTCTGTCCTGTAGGTTCATGTTGACGATACATTGACTGACAGATTATTATTGTGGCAAGACGGCAGGGAGACCGAACGGAGGGGGAGGGTTTTCACTTGGTCTTTATCCCTCAATATGTTCGAGCGCTTTTTGGATAATTCCGTTTCAACGTAGGGATGTCAGATCAAGTTGACAGCGCTTCACGCCGTTCGCGAATGTTCTAAACAATGCTATAGTCTGTTTTTCGTATCTTCTACCTTCACTCAAAGATGTTTTGTTCCTCCAGCACGTTTTTAGGGTATAGTTTTCAAATATTGGCCGCATGGCCCACCACTCATTGCAGGAGTTTGTTGCTCGTGTTGGAGTTCGCCTTCAGTGCGCAGTTCAAATCGGAAAAGAAACCTTTAAGCTAGAGTATCGCTTGTATTATCGTTACCACGGTTTATTGGTACTGACTACCGACCTATACACAAGGACGTTTTGCTGAGAACATTTAAAGAATAGTTTAAAGCTAGCACTTCCTCGTCATTGGGTAAAAGAAACTAAATGTGTTGCCTATATTTTTCAAATGCTTAATTTATGTTTTGCTTTATTTACGTTGCGATAACTTTTACACCGACGAATAACAAAATTATCTTAGCCCACGCCCGCTTGGGGGGTCCCCAGGCAGATTTGCTTCATCTTATTATTTTCCTATCTGCCTCACGCGATCATCCCGAAAAGTAAGCAAGGTGCGAAGACACGGGCAAGAATCGATAGCTCTCAACAATTACTTTCAGCAGTATACGTATATAGTAGGTATATACCGCATTTTGCTGAGGTCAATAGTGAAGGCCGCTGAAGGTCATTAATTAAAAAAAAAACTCCCGAGCTCAACATTAAAGCACTTCACGGATAGGCTTTTTAGGATCCGGCCCGGCCCATATCCGGCAAGTCACATCCAGATCCGCCCATTATCCGCCTTTCTTTGAATATCAGAATCCGGCCCACCCATGGCCCGTATTGCAGCCAAACTTCCAAAAAATATCCGTAATAATCCGTTTCACCAATAACTGGTTTCACCCAAAACTGGACTAACAAATTCAATCTAAGGGACCAGACACTGTCTAAGGGACCAGACACTCTGCTGCCGCTTAACACATTAGGTTAATTTTTAACTTCAATGTTGAATGTTAAAATTTTGATCCGTTTTGATCCGGGTTCAACCTTCAATTCCCAAATCCGGCCCGCCCATATCCGTTCTTTTTTAACAAATTTAGAATCCAATCCTATCCGGTCCGCGGATTTATCCGTGGATAACGGATTTATCCGGCCCATGAAGTGCTCTACTCAACATGTTTGGACAAATCTGACCAAACCTTGTCAACCGATTGAACTACAGCGCCGTCGAAACATCTTTAGTTCTAGCAGCTATTAGGTATTGTCGAAAGCTGCTGGTGATCTTTATCATCTGACATGACCTTTTGAGTGACCGCTGGCAATCACCAACGCCTTTGGGCTTATATTATGATACACAAATGCAGGTAATAACGACAATAACACCCACGTATGCATTTTTCGTATTATATTGCGCTGAAAGCATGACGAAGTTGAGCTGTGCCACCACCGACGGTGTTTCTCCGCGCCTTCAACACTTTTCTTTCTGGTATCCAAGGAAGTAAGTTTTTTATTCTGGCGATATTCGTTGGTTGTGCTCCTTCTTCACCGCCTTATTTCAGTCACCTAACCCACATTTCTTTTGCTTTGAAACGTTGAAAGAAAACGTTACGATCATTTTGTCTTGTCTGAGACCAAGGCAGGCCATTGCCCTTCTGTTGTTTGAAAACATAATGAAATTAGAAAGGGTTAATTTTGCCAGAATTAAAATATGATGTCACGCTTTTATGCAAATGCATTTCACTTGACAAAGAACATCGCATTTTGATTAACGGGATAGGCCAAGGGGACACACGTTCGATCTTGCGTTCGAGATAAAAATTGACTTTGCACCGGTGTTGATTTAATTAGATGTTCGCTGGAGCACGTGATTAGAGAGTTTACCGTCTTTGAGTGAAGGTAGAAGATACGAAAAACAGACTATAGTCTCACGTTGATGCCAAACAACATGTAATGTCGAGCCGTCTGCCCTTTAGCAGCTGCTCGTCGCTTTGTCATCCACCTTTTTAACCCTCGGCGCACCACTTTTCTGACCCTACAGCTTGTTGGCCAACAACTCTGCCGGCATCCTGTTGGCGCCGTCATACCTGCGCGGAGGTCGGCAGGGCGACCCACGCCTGCCAGGAGCGGCGCCTCTGGCGGCCCGGGAGCGCAGCACCTCAGCACCCAACGTCAGCAACCACGTGGACCCGGCGGCGCTGGGCATGGACCAGCTTCGGCGGGCCTACCCCGGTCAGTGGACGGGACAGGGAGAGAGGGTAGGAGGGAGGGATAGGGGAGACGGAGACGCGCAGGGAGGGGGCCAGCGGACTGGAGAGTGTAGCGGTTTTCAGTGTCAATTAAGTCGTCAGGGAAGTAGTGAGACCGGTGCTCGGTTTCCCGAATGTCTCCGTTGAGAGCGATAGTGAGCTCCCCGGGCCGGTGTTGGGTTCCTGTTAGTGCTCGCTCTCCTCGCCGTGTCCCTGATAATCAATTCCCCGTGGTAGCGCGACCGCCGGCGCTGAAACTAATCACTCGCCGCCAGGGTTTTCCGCCTGGTAGTTGTTATGACGAGTTGTTCGGGACCAGTCCACGCGCCTCCGCCAATCAACAGGTGGTCCTTAGGTGGCTGCTCCGAGACGGGTCTTGGCCAACTATCCAGGGCGTTATTACGCGCTCGTGTCGTCCGCGAGCGCCTGTGTCGCGCCCCAGGAGGGAAGGTCCTGCCACTCAGCAATCCTACTACAATATAGGAGCGGCGTCCCATCGTCCCGCCCCACTCCCCCGTCCCTGACCCGGGTTCCTGACCGACAACAGAAGCCAGCGCACGTGTTTGTGACTGGCGGCCCATTTAGGCCCGTGGCTGCCACAGCTGTCGGTGACGTCACTGGCGCACTGCGTGACGTCACCGGCGGCCGGCCGCAGCCGGCACCGGGTTGTTTTTAGACACCGCGCCGGTCGATGATGTTTTTCTGACGCCGTTTGTGCCGTCAACGTGCATGCCCGGCGTATGGGCCCGGGGAGGGGCGGGCACAGATAGGACAGCAGCGTATTCCCGTGTAATTTGCGCCGGGAATGTTCCACGTTACGTAAAGCGTGCGCCGTTGAAATACCCGTGCGCCCGCCGATGACGATGTGACTCTGAGACGGACACCGTGTTCTGACGCACTCGCTGACGCTGCTCACGGTCGGCTGAGCCGCCTTATTGTGCGACACACGACGCGCTCGCCGTGACGCCTCGGGTGTCAGTCAGCTGACGTCACGATAGTGCGTTGACGGCGTACGCGTCTATGACTACAGTTGTTCGCAATGTCAGTTCTCCCCCGACGAGCCTCGGTCGCCTGACTCCGACATACACTCCCAACATGTTGTGTTCGGTCCCCACTGCCTCCCTCCACAGCTGGTGTTGGTTACTGGTTATGACTGTGGTGATTGGTTACGACCGACTAACCCCTGGTGGTGGTCTTACTCGCATGACCTTAAAAACAATGTGCACTTTGATGGTTATTTCTGTTTCGTTTGCGTATTTAAGCTTCTTTTGTAGCCTAGCAGCTCTGTTTGATGTTTAGATGAATGTGATAAATAATGAATGCATAGCTGATAACCACAATTAATCCCACTGATCTGTGTATAGCACTGAAGTCATGGTAGCTGCATGCAGTATCTGGTTTTGGTCTGACTGTGGCCTGTAGCCTCTGCTGACTAACCCGAGCCGTGTAGGTGTAGCGGCGGCGGTGGCGGCGGCGCCGGCGGCCGGCGGCGACTCACCGGACGGCTGGGGCCATCTGCTGGCCGGGCTCCTCACCACACCACGACCTCTGCGGCGCTTCCGGCCCGGGCACGCCGCCACGCCCAATACGACCGCCACGCCGGCCACGGCAGCCACGCCGGGCCGGCGCCGCAAGTACGCCACTCTGGAGAGACCGTCGCGACGCACGGCCAAAACGGCGGCGGCGCGACTGGCGGCGATCGCCGGTGGGTGAGCGCGTCCCGCCCTCCGTCCTTTTCTCTGTCCCTCCGTCTGTCTTTCCCTCTGTCCCTCCCTCCGTCTATCTGTCCCTCTGTCCCTCCGGCCTCCGTCTGTCAGTCTGTTCCTCCGTTCGTTCCTTCGTCCATCCGTCTGTTCATCCATCCATCCGCCCGTCTGTCTCGGCCGTCCTCCTTCCGTCCGTTCGTCCCTCCTTCCCTCCGTTCGTCTATCCCATCCCTCCGTTCGTCCATCCTTCACTCTGTCCCTCGTCCGTCCCGGCTGGAGATGTGTGTGGAGGCCGGACGGACGGCAGAACTGAGAGACGGGTACCTACTGTACCGCGAACAGGCAGCCAGGAGGCGCGACCTGCTTGGTAAAATGGAAACAGCCTTGAGTTTGTCTTGCCCGATCGGCTAGTGCAGTTATATTATATTGTCTTCTTGCTGTTGATGATTTAGCATGCACTACATTTAGCATGGGAACTACATACTTGGCTGTTCAAAATATTTGCCTTTGGTGTTGGTTTTCTTTTGCTGCCTTTTCACTGTTAGGCGTCGTTGCATGAAATGTACCAGCACACGTTGCATCTTATTCCTTTAAACTAACAACTAACTACGTGCCAACCGCCCATCCTGTGGGCTGAACTCTGACAGACCAAAAGCCACCGACTGACGTAAAACCAGGGGTCCATATCCCCGCAGACTTGACCCGCCCGCCGAGACTGACTCGCCCCGCCTATCACACCCGTCCCGGTGTCTGACGCCGCGCGCTGCCACCATCACCACCAGGTCCTGGCGCGGCGCTGGTGCCTCCCGGCTCTCAGGCACACTCGTCGCCCTCCTCCTCGCCGACCAAGCTGTCCCACTCACACTCAGCCCACGGTTCGCCGACCTCCATCCACCGCGGCACCCGGCCGCGCGCCCGCTCCGCAGACGAATCCAGCAACAAGAAACTCGACAAGAGTCGCGTGCGAGAGTCGTTCGACGACTGGGAGATCTCCTGGGAGGAGATCCTCATGGGCAACAAGATCGGGTCGGGATCGTTCGGGACGGTCTATAAGGCGCACTGGCACGGCCCTGTGGCAGTGAAAATACTGAACGTGAACGACCCCAGTCCGGCGCAGCTGGCGGCCTTCAACAATGAGGTGGCCGCCCTCCGAAAGACCAGGTGGGTGACCGGTGAGGGCGGTGGAACACTTCCGACTGTTCTTTGTTTTTTTTTTTGTTCTTTGGTTTTGGGGCTTTGGTTGGTTACGATTTCTCGTTGATTTTGTTTCTTCTTTCTTTTTACTGAACTTCGCTACATACTGTACTTTGTTTTTAGTATCGCCAGCGTGAGTCTGAAGAATAAGATAATGTGTACTCACTTGACATAAGAATGCCGCCAGGCGCCAGCTGTTGAACTCCTCTATTTGGAGCCCTTTACGACATCGTAATGTTGACCTGACCTGGCCTTTCCGTCAGACACGTGAACATCCTGCTGTTTATGGGCTGCGTGCGGCGGCCAAACCTGGCCATCGTCACCCAGTGGTGCGAGGACTTCAGCCTCTACAAGCACATCCACGTCTTCGAGACCAACTGGGACCTCGGGCAGAAGCTGGACTTTGCACGGCAAACCGCCTGTGGCATCGAGTGAGTGGATGGGCGCGGTTAGTTGTGGGTGCGAGCTGGGGTCTGGGGTGGGGAAATTGGACAGAAGTGCGAACTAAGATACATAGTTCTGATGGTGAAAATTTGATATTTGGTTGGTGTGATTTTCATGTTGAAGTGAAGCGTGTCGGTCGTGTTAGTATAAAGCGAGTTATTGATCATGTAGTCAGGCGCGAAGTTGATGGGTCTAGTTGGCGAAGTTCAGGTGTAAGCTTCTAAATGTCCCAGCCTTTGTGATGAAAAACGGCTATTATTACGCCTGAAATATGTAGAAATAGCGTTGAGAGTAACACAATTTATCAGCTATCACATTTAGTAGGTCAAGCATACGGCTTTACTATTGGTTGTTGTAAAGGCTTGTTGGTTCTCCGGACCGATTTTATTCTCCGGGACCAGGAACGAAAACTACAATTCCAACATTGGTCTCACTGCATTCAACATGTTCGACTGTTCCCATAGAGGTCGTTAACTGATGTTTCCGTTGAGTCGAGCGGTACGCGCCTTCCCATAATTTGCAAGGCCTCGCCCGACGCGGCGCTGCTGATTGTTCGATTGTGCCGACTAAGCGTCCACCTCCCTCCTCGCAGGTACCTCCATTCGCGTGACATCATTCACCGGGACCTCAAGTCGAACAACATTTTCCTGCACAACGACTACACGGTGAAGATTGGCGACTTCGGCCTGGCCACGGTGAAGACACGGTGGTCGGGCAACCAGCAGGCCCAGCAACCGACCGGTGGGTACCGACAGGGACGCTGGTTGTTGCTGGTAGCTAGCCACGTCTGGTCGCTGGTCGCTGACCGAGATGGCTGGACGGCACCTAGCGTGGTTGGGCTTCGGGGAGAAGGTGGTAGGACTGCCAGGTGGCGCCTCCTTCGGGGGACGTGGTGGCTGCTGATGCCTCTCTGATTTGGCAGGGGTGGGAATGACTTTGTGTGCATCAGGATGTTGGGTTTGTCGGGATGGTTGGCGAGTCAGTTTTGGCAGTGGTGTGAAGACTGAGACTAGGTTTGGATGTACACTGCTCATTGCGGTCGTCATCCACTGAGTAGTCGCGGTTCTTCACAGAAAGCGTATATGTATGTTAGGTATTTTGCTCAGATATTACCAAACGAAAGAAAGTGATAATTGGGTAGACCAGCTAGTTCAACAGTCACGGCCTCAGCTGTTGTGTAACGTGCATGTTACACTGGTCTCATTGTCGATGTCGCCATGTTTGTAATGCATCGGACTCGCTGTAGTGGAGAGGGCCCGAAGAGTATCTGGCAGTGCCGTGTTGGACCGTGTTGACTGCCTGGCCTCCGCCCGCAGTGAGCGCCAACATCCCTTCTGACCACCCTCGCCCGTTCCGTTCACAGGGAGCATCCTCTGGATGGCGCCCGAGATAATCCGTATGAAGCAGGAGAACCCGTACTCGTTCCAGAGCGACGTCTACGCCTTCGGTATCGTGCTGTACGAGCTGTTTGCCTTCCAGCTGCCGTACACGCACATCAACAACAAGGACCAGGTGAATGGGAGCTGCCGGCCGGCGGACTGGAGTGTAGGGGACTGGGGAACGGTCTGAGAATGTGAGCTGTCTCCATATCGGATTTTGTAGTGTGTGTACTCTTAGCTTGTTGGTATTTCGGTGGGTCGTGTTCAAAATCGTATCAGCATTATAAATGGGAGCATTTTGCCTACTTCAATGTCATACACATTGATTGTTGGCTGGACTTGGTAAATGGTAAGTCCATGCGATTTTGTCAATCACAATGCTCGCTGTTTGTTATGACTGTTGAGTGCTGACTTATTCTTTGGTGTTGAGATTCAGATGTGGCTGGGTGTCCAGGCTTTCAACGCGTTCGTGTCTCCGGCAGATTCTCTTTATGGTGGGCATGGGATTCCTGAAGCCCGATCTCTCCAACCTGACCGAGTGTCCAAAGCTGATGAAGAAACTCATCACAGAGTGTATCAGCTTCAAGGCCGATCTCCGTCCGCTCTTCAGACAGGTCAGTCAGGATCGGTACAGACTGGTTGTTGGTTCACCCTTTTTGGATCGATTCAATCATTGATTCATTTGATTTTTTTCGATTCAATCATCGTTTGATTCCTTCAAAAAAAAAAATTGAATCGATTCCTTTCGATTTAGAGAATAAAAAAAGGAATGATTAACGTTTGATTCAGCCAAAAATTTATTGAACGATTCTTTTTTTATTCGATTAAAAATATCCTTGATTCAGGGAATTGCCTTTAGTATGTACATATATGTAAATGCAGCTCTCATAGTCAAATTCAGCAGGTATTTCTATTCAAGTTTAAAAACTGGGCACATGCACCGTCCGTAAAGTAACTGAACGAGCTTGGAGCTAGCAATTTTTAAATTAATGTACTGTGATTTCAAGCGAATATCGGTGCTTTGTAACCCAGTGCATCTGTCCATAATTACTAAACTCATCAGTACCATCCATCGTCTGTACTTGATGTGCGCTCTGTGCACTGTTCGCTAACCGTTCCCTCCTCCTGTCCACAGATCGAGGACCGGATCGACTCGATCCTGCAGAACATTCCCAAGATCGCGCGCTCCCAGTCGGACTCGTACCTGCCCATAATGAGCCGTCAGTACGAGACCGACGAGTACTCGCTGTACCCGCCCTACGCGTGCCCGTCGCCGCGCACGCCCGGCCACGGCGGACTGGCCGCGTTCGCCTTCCACCACGCCGGCTAGTCTCGCCCGGCCGGCCCGCCCTGGCGCCCCTCTGCCCGCCGCCCCGCCCGCTCGCCCTCTGCCCGATCCCCGCCCACCCTCCGCCCCGTCCCGTCCCGGTCCCTCTCCCCCATCCGCGAGCACCAAGATGGCAGGTGCTGCTGTTCGTTTGTACAGTGGTTCTCAAACTTGCAGTCGCTGACGGCATTCGTTTGGTCAGTGGATGGTGCTTGTGATTTAGGTACCCCTCTCCCCAAAGTGTGGGATTGGCATGTGATTTCCTAGAGGGTGGTATAGCCATGCCTTATACTTCGTGTCTGTTTCTGTTGTCACTTGCATTTTGAGTCATTAAGTCTGAGCTGAAGTTGATCATGATTTTAGCAATAAGTGATTTCGTCGTAATGGTCTGTTTTGATTGGCTTTATGATGCCCAATCTCAATCAATTTCGCAAGCCAGGAGCTGATTTACATACGATGTCTCGATTTTATTATGGAACCCTCTCTAGCCATCGTTAGGTGGTTGTCTTTTGTCCGCCAGAAAGATGCTGATGCCTAGAAGCATTTCGATTTATTGAAAAAGTCGTGCAAAGTAGAGGACCTTGCCTCCCACCCTCCCCCATTCCACCTGCTTTGTTGAGTAGGTACTAGTTTACCGCTGATATCATAAATCGATTCCAAACCACTTCGGCCTACAGGGTGCTCTGCGAATTCATCCTAGTTCCAACACCCGGCTGGGACGTGTTGTAGAAACTGTGGCTTCCCGCGGCGCGGCGCTCTACTGCCGGAGCCGTCCGCGCTCCCCAGACTCCGTCTTCCTGTCACCGCTGCTCCTGTGGGTACCGTCCATGCGCGACCTATTCCGGGCTGATCTCCCCTTCTCCCCGGCATTTCTACCCTGCTGCCGCCGACACGTCCTGCGCCCGGCGCCCCTCCTGCCCCTCCCCTCCCCCGCCCATCGGCGGCGGCGGCGGCGCGCGCGGCCCGCCGGCCCCCTGCTCCCCCGACGTACATGTGATACAGCGAGCGGGCAGGCGGGTGCCAGCCGTTCAATCTTCTCTAGTCGGCGTCACGCGGTCTCCCAACGGTTGTGTTACGAAAGCTGCACTCATACGCGATTCTGTTGCACGCATTGTCATCGTCATTATGTTCTGTTGATGGTTTGATGGCGCAGCTGCGACCTCCCGGCTTGTGCGCGTATGTCTGTATATAGTACGAGCGAGACGAGGTAAGAATATGTGACATCATGACTGAAATAAATCCGATATTTGAACGAAATGTATCTAATTATTGTGCAGGAATATGTCAGCAGAGAACAGAGGCTGGTGCGCGGTTCCGTTGTAACAATTCAATGACGTACAATCTAGCCCGAGGCGGGCTATTATGTGCTTCCATCGACCGTGCTTCCATTGGTAACTCAGTGTACGAGAGGTAGGTTATCATGGAACATCCAGGCAAATGAATTGGGAAGATATTGGATTTGAGCGGGTTCGTGCATTCCCTGACGACATCAAATGATGGTCGTGGCCCCTTTTTAACGACCCAAATCAGCTTGGTTTGAGATTCCGATCAACCTTGGTCGGTGACTGAGAGAATTTCTCCAAAATGAACGGTAATCCAATACGAGTCTCAGTCTACTTACATTGATCGTCGGGCTTTCCAACAAGCAGGTATCAGCTTATGAAAGCGATTTTGTTGAAGCATTCTCAAGTGGGTGTTACTTTGCATTGTTTTGTCAGGAGAACAAGTTGATTCCATGATGCCTCTTGTTCTCTGGTATGATGCACTGTTATTGAGGGACGTTTGTGTATCGATTATTCATTGGATTGGCGGATGCCCCGGCTCCAAACTGAGCTGTTTGCCTTCCCGAACCATGTCCGCGGGGATAGAGAGAATGCCGGCCACGCTCCGGTCGAATAACGACATTGAGCTTGGCAGCAGTAAGCCCATGTAGTAAAAACATGTGGGCCTGTCCCGCAGCCTCAGTAGGCGGTAAAGGCGCGTGGTGGCTGGTAGGGACGACATGGCTTCGGTGCTCGTGTGTATCCTGGTAGCGGCCCTGTGGGCGCTGGCAGTGGCTGAAGTGACTGACGAGTCAGCGTTGACTGATGTTTTTGGAGGTCCCGTGTTGAGCAGACATGAACGGGACGGCAGTGAGCCAACCAGGCGCAGATTCCACAATGAGACTATCTTTGGTGGTAAGCAGCCGGAGCTAACCTCAGCATTGCCGGACCGTTTTGAGAAGGTGCGGCTCAGTCATAGGGTGGCGGAGGGAGGGCGGCCGACCATCACCGACGAGAGTCTGGGCGGCTGGCCGGAGAACGGCGACAGCAGCTTCATCTCGCTGCTGCAGCACCTGACTTCCCTCCAGGACGTGCTGGTGGTCCACCACCTCACCACGGAACCGTCCTTCCTGTGGCAGCGCCTCCACCAGTTCACCCGCACTCTGGAGATCAACCAGCTGGAGCTGCCTCCCGGCGCCGTCACCACCTTCCACCAGACCTCCAGCAAGGTGTGTCTGTACCTGCTGCACGGGTACGGGTGGCGCGGCGCCGACACCCGGCGCTCCGTGCGGCTCCTGGATGCCTGGAGCGACCTGTGCACGCGGCTGCTGGTCGTGGAGCCCCTGCAGCCGGTGGAGCGGTCGCTGGCGGCACGTCTGGTCAGACATGAGCACACCCTGATGACGCTGTCCATAATGATGGAGGAATACTACGGCTACAACGCTACCGAGAGTGGCAATGACGCCGTCGGTCAGAGTGGCTCCATTCAGCGAGTGTACGGCTTCGAGCTGGAGTGTTTCCAGCGCCGGGTGCGGCCAGAGCTGCTGTGGGACGCCGCGTGGAGCAGACACCGCGTGCGGCGCTCGCAGCGGGACGGCCAGGGGAACGCCACCTTCTTCCAGACGAACGTGCCGCATTTGGGCGGAGAACATCTGCGCATTAGTTCCACGGCCGCCGGGGACACCTACTACGCTTACTACCCCGACCCGAGCGACCGCTCCTTCTTCGCCGGTGTCGAGAAGAACATGATAGACGCGGCGGCCCGTCACCTGGGCTTCACCTACACGCACACACCGCCGCTTAGTGACGAGGGAGTGTACGGTTCTCGGCTGGAGAACGGCTCGTGGACGGGCGTGGTGGGCATGGTGGCCCGTGGCGAGGCCGACATCGCCATCGGCGACATATCGGTGACGCTGGAGCGGCTGGCGGCCGTCGACTTCACGTACCCGCACCAGGTGGAGCCCAACTCGTTCATGATGCTGCGGCCGGCACCGGTGCCGCGCTGGCTGGCCGTGGCGGCTCCGTTCGACCCTCCCACTTGGCTGCTGCTGGCACTGGCGCTGGGCTGCGCGCTGCTGGCCGTCCAGCTGCCCGGCGTGCTGGTCGACACGGGCGCCGGCGGCTCGCGCGGCCACGCGCTGGTGCTGTTTGGTGCGCTGCTGCACCAGGCCGGCCAGCTGCCGGTGCGCGGCGCCGCCGGCCGCCTGCTGGCCGTGGCCTGGTGGCTGTTCGGGCTCACCATCGCCATCAGTTACCGCAGCCGGCTGATTTCACTGCTCTCTGTGTCCCGCTACCCGCCGGCCATCGACAGCCTGGACCAGCTGGCGCGCTCGCAGCTGGCAATCAAGGCGTACCCTCAGGTGGCCGTCACCGAGTACCTGGAGAGTTTCAGCGGCACGGACTCGGCGCTGGCCGACCTGGTGCAGCGGCTCTCTTTCCTTCCGGCCACTCAGTCGCTGAATGACGTCGAGCTGCACCCGGACACGGCCTATGTGGAGGAACTGGCCCTGGTGCGGCGCGCCGCCAGCCACCGGCCCGACAGACACCTGCTCTACGTGTCGCGCGCGCGCTTCTACGCCACCGGCCTGGCGTGGCCGGTGCCGCACGGCGCCTGCTACAAGGGTCCGCTGAACACCATCGTCAAGCGCCTGCTGCAGTCGGGCCTGGTCGAGTTCTGGCTGCACAACGAGGGCGGCCAGCCGCCGCCGCCGCGTCCGCCGCCCCCGCAGCGGGCGCTGCGACTGGCCGACCTGGCCGCCGCCTTCCTGGTCCTGGTGGCCGGATCGCTCGCCTCGGCCGTCTGTTTTCTGGCCGAGACGGTGGTGGCCGGCAGGCAGCTCCGTCTGCCCGGCGCGGCGCACGCGTACCGAGCTCACGTGTGGTGTATGAGGTTTGTGGGTGGTATGGAGGAGTGACAGCTCTGGTCTTGGAAAGGTCTGGAAGTGTGACGGTGGTCGATGTGCCGGTTACCAAGGCGCATCCGCCACCGTCGGCTATTGCAAACAAGCACGCCATGCTGCGTCACCTTGCACTTAAGACGTCACTGCCTCTATGGAACCCACTTTAAAGTTATTTACGACACTGATCCTGTCAGTGATCATCGTCCTTCCCCTGACTATGAAGTGCCGTGAAAGTCACTAAAGACGCTTGATGTGACGTAGTACAATTCACTGAATGTACATTTATCACTAGTTTTAGGACGCATCCTCGCCCAACCACGGGCAGCCCTCGAGGATCCTGGTTGGCAATGGACGCTGATAACTACCCAGCAGTTTAGGCCGATACATTTTTTTTTTTTAATGACATCCGGCACTTCGTACAAAATCGCTAGTCTCCTAAACATCGCTCATATTGAATATGTTTTTCTAGTAAACCCGCTTTAAAACAATATGCGTGTATTATGTCCAAGTCATTCAATTTCATGACAGAGTTGGCAGTTCATATTATGCCTGGCTTAGTCGTTCCAGCCTATTAATGCAACAGCATCGAGATGCTAATTAGCGACTGGTCACTGGATACATTAAGGTAGGAAGCTTCATATCACACAAGCTGTTAACATTAATGGCAAAACAGCTCATGGTCAAAATGCCCGTCAAAGTACAATTATTATCAAGACACATGGACAAACATTATCAAGCATTATTGTGGATCGTACGCTTGTAAGCGGTTGAAACAATCATGTAAATAAATATATAAAAAGAGGACGTTGCATGCTGTGCACTGTATGGTAAATACAATCGACACGTCAATGTAATGTTTGTTCACGTGTTTGCTGGAACTACGATAAGAATACACAAAGCACACCTCGGCAACGCACTGAATGGTCCCGTATCAAAACATCTGCCTTCACTGACGTGCGTATATCATATAATAACCCTGAGATCGCATACATTGGAAGACTGGTTGATCGCGCCATAGCACAAAACGGCCTTTCCAAAAGGCAACTTGTCTAAGACAACGAAATCACTTTAGACTTGTCATTCCACAAACATACAAGCGGAAGAGATCGTTGTCCATTATGCACACATCTACTATGGACCCCTTGAGACCCCACTTTTTTGCGATAATTTTTAAATGCGTCAACTCTCGTTGACAATATTTTGGCAATGTGTGTTTCAGAATCTGCCGAAACTTTTATTACTAAGGTATTTTGACGTCAAACGATTATGAAAGGTACTTCTCATTCACTCGTAATGTTAAATTTCACGGAATGAATCTGCTGTTTGGGTAGAGGCTACGCGCTTATGGGGCGGAGCCACGTAATGACGTCAGCGCTAAGCTCCGCCCTACCCCTCCGGCGCTCCTTGCCTGGCGACCGGTCACTCGCGTCTCGCGCTCCATTCAGGCTTGATGGTGGGCGGTAGCTGGTAGCGGTAGCGGGCGCTGGTAAATGACATTAAGAGCAGATGGCGCTGGTGGCGGGGCTCGAGTGTGGCCGAGCGCAAGCCTCTGCCTGGGCCTGAATTGACCTTAGCATTACGAGTGAATGAGAAGTACCTTTCATAATCGTTTGGCGTCAAAATACCTTAGTAATAAAAGTTTCGGCAGGTTCTGAAACACACATTGCCAGAATGTTGTCAACGAGAGTTGACGCATTTAAAAATTATCGCAAAAAAGTGGGGTCTCAAGGGGTTTGACATCCATAGTAACCTCCACTCACCAGACTGTACACAGTCCAACTAACCGCATCACGCACCTCTCACTTCAGACACTCTCCCTCCCATCAGACTCTAGTCTCCCTCCCCTCCGCTCTTTCCACCTCTGTCGGAGCAGCCCTCACCGTCTCAGCGCCCGGCGGACCAGCACCTCCTGCTGTTCTGTCAGCGTGCTCAGGCGGTGGGCTGCTCGAGATAGGCTGGCAGGGGACCGCAGAGGCGCCGGCGACCCGCCGCTTACCGGGCTCGGCCGCGTGCGGAGGTTGTACCGGCCCGGAGACGGCTGTGGACGGGAAGGGGTCAGCGACAGGGCTGTAGGCGGGGGGGGGACGAGAGGGGGGATACAACGACAGGGCAGACGGCTGTGGACGAAGGGACCTCAGCGACAGTGCTGTGGGTAGTGCTGCGGATTTGAGGACACTGATCCTGCAACCGATATAGTTATTTGAAGTTTGAACATGTAGTTCAGCAGAATATTGGCGGTGGTGACCGAGCTTTGAACGCTTGCGTTTTTCTGGGCTTGTAACTGATGTGTACACTGTACAGTGAAACTTAACCCTCGCCCATGTAGGGGGGGGGGGTTGGTGCAACCCCCCCCCCCCCTGAGGTTTTTCGGAGATAGTGCAAAAACGGCGGCGCGCAGCGCCGCCAAATTTTGGGTACCTTATGGGGCAAACCTTGCGCATCTTTTGATAAAAAAAATTTGACCGGGTCATGTCAGGTCACGGAGTTATGACGTCACAAAGGGAACAGCCTCCGGCCGGATTTTCACAAACTGAGTGCCAACGCCCGAGGTTTCCTGCCGGTGGTACGGACATCGGTTGATGGATCGTGATGAAACTTCCCATGCATGTTGGGGCAAGTATTGGCTATCATATGGTATAAGAAACTTGACCGGGTCAGGTGAGGTCACGGAGCTATGACGTCACAAGAGGAACAGCGTCCGGTACTATTTTTGAAAAGCGCCCGAACCACTATTTTGCTAATTCTTGTCACCTCAATGGGAATATGCAGCAATATTAGCTTCTATAGGGAGCAAATGGACCTCCCAAATCCAAAAATACAATCAGATTTCAAAAATTTTAATTTTGATTTTTCGAATTTCTGCCGCCGACTGTGACCTTGCCGACTTCCGGCGCTCCCAACGAGCCATTTTTAGAGCTAGGGAAACGAAATACATACCAAACGATAGAGAATTGATCAAGGAACACGATAGTGAAAGTTTCAAGTCGATACCTCCCACCGTTTTGCCGCAATCGCCGCGGAAAGTTGAAAAAAGTCTATTTTTCCGAAAATTTGACCTTTGACCGGTCAAAAGTAGGTCAAATGTTGACCTAGGACCAAAAAATATACCACCAATCGCGAGATCTCGGCGAGAGCAATCCGTTGGTCTTTTCCGCTAAGCTCTACGACGCTCCGTTTTCAAACGCCAAGGGGGGGGGGGGTCGCACCAACCCCCCCCCTGCATGGGCGAAGGTGGCAGATCGCCGTTTACGGGCGAGGGTTAAAGTTCTATACAAAGCTATAGGCAGTGGCTGGAGAAAAATACAAGCAGAATATTACTTGATATAATCCTAAAATTAAGTTCTAAAGGACAACAAAGAAAAAGCTTTGTACAAACTCCCCGTCTCCCATCCGTATCGTCCCGTTAACGGTGGCCCACCTGAGGTGTCTCTGACGGTGAGCTGCTCCCCCGTGAGGAGGAGGCGGCCGACCTCAGGGCCGCTCCCAACTCCAGCGAACTATCACCCCGCGAGGCCGACCTCAGGGCCGCGCCCAGCTCCAGAGACCCGCTCAGTACGTCCACCAGACTGGGCCGCCGCCTGCGGGGCGGGTCCCCGGCGGCCGGCACCGACACGGCCCGGCAGAGGGACGCGTCGCTGGACAGAGAGACGGAGTCGGAGCCGCCCTCCTCGGCAGGCGGAGAGAGCTCTGCGGGAGCGACACAGAGACGGTCACTGACACGGAGTGGTAGAGGTGCCACAGACAGATACAGTCAGCGTGGTAAGGGGGTGATTCTTTGCCAGTATCGCAAGAGAGCATGGCATGGCAGAGCTGCAAGCCATGCGCAATGGCGTTCAGCGATTGCGAAGCCACTTCCACTGAACAGTAATAGACCCAGAGGCACGCATAAGCTAAGCACCAAGTGATAATTACCAATAACCCATAGCTCCCAGCGGCAGCACACAGGACAAGGAGCACCCCCTCCCTCTCCCTCACCCGTCCACCAGCGGGCCGATCCTTACCGCGTAACACCGGCCCCGCCGAACCTCCTCCATCCGTGACATCTCCGGCGGCCGACACCGCGTGCCGCGACCCCGACCTCTTCAGGTCAGCGGTCCTCTCCGAGCCTGACCCAGCCAGTCTCGGAGTCAGGTCAGGGAGGCCCGTTAGTGACCGCCTCGGCCACGGGGTGGCGCCACTCCGCAGGCCGGTGAAGACGCCCGGGGAGGTGGTGGTGGCGCCATCTGTAACGTCGCTGACCGGCATCCCTGATGGAGGGCGGCGGACAGACGGGGGGACAGACGGACAGGCGTCATTTTAGCTGGCGTTAGCAGCGTTATCGCAGGCCAGCCATGGGATGAAGCGATTTAGCACGCACTCGGAAAAAGCGGGCTGGTATTGAATGCATCCCTCCAAGCTGTGAGCTGTTGGGCTAGCTGGTGCCATTGCATCATATTCCAAGCACGTCATATGACATCATGCAAAAGTGACATGAACATTGAACAGTGAACATACAGTGACCATGGTAGTAATGACCGGTTCATGTTATAGGCTCGCACCCGCACGTTACTAAGCGAATCAGCGGTTCATCACTTGAAACCAGAGAAAAGCTGCACAAACAAATCATAATTAAGCTTGATGAAACGGCCATGGTAAGAACAACAGCAACGGTTCTCACAGAAACAGCAACGGTCTGCCAGAGGGCAGTCCTTGTTCTCAAGGGGACAGCCCGGACAGCTAATAAAATTATATATGAAAGCTCTGATTCTGGCATGAACTTACACGACAGCCATTACGCTCATAAGAAGTTATAACAAGGTTATCACAAGGCCACTGCCAGCTATGGGTCCCAAATCCAATAATCACATATGGACAGCTGAGGTGACCATCGCGAAGATATCCATAATTTCGAATGGACTGGCATGGCTCTCACATGGACAACCATTATTGTTTTCGACACATGAACAGCCAGGGCCCTCACAGCTCACACTGCCAGCCAAGGTTCTGGCCGGTAAGGTCGCGGCGTCTCTTAGCTCACCCTTGGCGGCGAGGTAGGCGCGCAGCTCGCGGTGCTGCCGGTGTAGCTCCAGCAGCAGCTGGTTGTTGGCCACGTTGAGGTCGCGGTAGCGGTACACGGTGACGGCCAGGATGAGCAGACAGACGGAGACTGCCGCCCGGCGCAGCAGCCACACGGAGCTGTCCAGCAGCGCCTGAAAACAACGACGACCGTGGGCATGTCAGGGCGAAGGGCGCGGCATGTAGGTACACTCGGGGGCAGATTGATGTTCCACCACTCCCCACCCATCAGGCTCCCATGGCTCAGCACTGGCTGCTGCCAGTGTTGCCTGCCCTCAGCACTGCTCAGCACTGCCTGCCAGTGCCAGTGCTGCCAGTGCTGCCACTGGCAGCAGCCAGTGCTGAGTCATGGGAGCCCGATGGGTAGGGAGTGGTGGAACATCAATCTGCCCCCGAGTGTACCACCGGACCGGGGTATCAGGTTAGGCTAAACTAAGCTTATAATGAAGCAAATGAGGGTGGATACTTCGCAGTTTCAAGTTATCTGCAATATACCTACTTCATAATCAAAGCAGCTGTCATAATTCGCAAACGACCGTAGAAAACAGAAGCAACCCCCAGCCTCACACATATGTAGAAACCTGAGCAGACAGCCCTGCCTGCCACGGTCGCTGGTGTCCAGAGCGCCACCTACCAACTACCCCGGGCCCGGTCACCGAGACGCACCTTAGTCAGTAAAGAGGCACCGAGCCTGTCCCTGCAGCCCAGACCGAGTCTCATCGCCTATATGCTAGGTCAGTGGGACAAGCTATCCCACATCCTATCCTACCAGTCTCATCCACAGTATACAGAGGGACAATGGGACAACCTGTCCCACCAGAGCCATTGCTCTTATCCCACCAAATCTCACCCCGGTCTGCTGAGCCGTGCGGGCCTCCAGGGGCGACTCGGCCGATATGAAGTAAGCCGCCAGTAGCCGCTCCAAAGCCAGGTTGGTTGTCAGCACCAGAAACAGCCACAGTCTGGGAATGGTGCAGGCATGAGAAGCAACCAGTCTGGGAAGTGCATGTCAGCAGTCGTGAAAAGAAACAAACACAGCGCCTAGGGAAGTGCGCAAGACGTACCGCCCTCCAGGTATTTAGTGGTTGGTTGCCAACATCACAATAAGCGATCTGCATTGATGAATACGCCTAATGGCTGTTGAAAACCATTGCCGAAGTGTGTGCACGAACCCTCTTCTCATTTCTATTGAGTCATTTTACAGGAGTGTCTCTGTCATTCAAAAAGCACATAGGCTAACCAAACACTCTTTTGCTGGAGGGCCGTACTTTTGGTTTCCAGAGGTGCAAGACTCGGTACCTTTCTCATTTGTGTAATGGGCCAACAGCTGCTACAACAGCATACAGTTAGCATAGTGAAAATAAAATAATTACCTATACAACTCTCTTTTGACCTGGCGCCAGCGGTTCCCGTTGCCAATGTCGACAAGCCTTGTCCGTTTCTGGCTCATCTGGCAACAGCGATTCACGCTGTTGATACCAGGCCAGCAGGCTCTACCTCTTTCTCAGCTCACCTGGCGCCAGCAGTTCTCGCGGTGGACGTCAGCAGGTAGACGAGCAGCACGCCGGCCACATAGTGCGCCAGCGAGTTGAACCAGCTGAAGCGGTCCAGCACCAGCTGCTGTAGTGACGTCAGACGGTCAAACACCGTCAGGATCAGGTCGCGGTGCTCGGCCGTCTGCTCCCTGGGGGCGTGAGAGGGGTAGGTGTGAGTCAGCGCAAAGCAGAGCTTCCTTCACTTTTGTCACGAGGAGCTCATAGATGCATGACAATCCAATGGCTAATTGCCAAGTGGAACCGGTAACACGCCGAAAACTTCATGCACGCATCTCGGTTTTGGTAAATAAAAATCTGAGCATCTTAGGTTCTTGGACATATTCTGGCCTTAAAGGCAATTTTTATCAACAATCAACTGCTGAATAATTTAGCCGCTGTCAAAGAAGCTTTGCCTACCAATGGGTTTTACGTTGCTATGAAAGGTATTGGTGAGCAGTTTCCAGATATTTCCACTGGGACTTGCTTCAGCGGAACATTCCGTTCCACTGTGCTTGACCCGTCGCTCTGATGACGTCATGCAGACCACACACTTGATCATTGGAAACCGTTCAACACACCTATCCATCACCACTGTGGGAGCGTTGAAATGTAGCGAAACAATTCACATAAATCTGCTCGCCACTGAATATGATCGGTTGACCTGCATTACGTGACGTCACCGGTAATGACGTCACTGACCGCTGGGTATCGAATGTCGTGAGCAACACTGAGCAATGAGCTTCACTGCGCACCGATCAATGCGTCCTTAGATACAGCAAACTGGAGCGAGATGACACGTGACCGGGGCGCTATCCGTAGTTTCCAGGAAAGGACACCGTAAAAAGTCGCAGCTGGGGCAAATGGACCAAAGAGCGGCTAGGTCAACGGCGGACGCCGCAAAATAATGGTCAGCAGTGAGCGGGTAGTAGGGCAATTGAATCGATACCTGAGCTTAGTTTATGAAATAAACGAAAGGGTGAGTTCACCACGCTGCTGCAGATTAACAGAAATTTCCCGCAGCGACACAAAGATAATTGCAGTGCAGAGGTCACAAGAAACTGCTAACATTAATGAATGGCGACAACTGATCGGCATTAGGCTGCTACCTCGCGGTAACTTTGCGATAGGTGAGGAGAGTGGGCGGCCGAGGTTGGGGAATATCACGCACTGTGGTACATTGACCTCATTACCGACAGATACAGTATCACTGCAGAAAGGCGGACCACGGCAGGCGCTGTCGCAACAACTGAAGATCACATGGCTATAAGTGAGAATGCCACATCCACATCAGTAAAGAACAGAGACTAGCTCAGCGAGTCTGATGTCCTTCCATCAAACCGTTCTCACCTGAAGTCCTGCACCATGAGTTGCATGTTCTCCCTCCACGTGTCCACGTCCCTGGACATCCTGTGGCCCTGGTCCATCAGCTGCTGCTGGTTGCCCAGCGCGCGCTCCTGAGCCCGAAGGATGTCCTCCTGAACGGTACCGGAGCGCTCCAGGCGCTCGGCCACGGCGGCCGCCTCCGAGCCCAGCCGGGAGATGAGCCGACCCGTCTGACGGTTCCACACCTGGACCTGCGCCGAAGGGAGAGGCAGAGGGTCAGAAAACAGGCCTGGCCAGGAGAGGAGGATCAGAAAACAGACGTGAGAAGAGGGTCAGAGATCGGACCTTTGCAGAGAGGAACAGGGAATAGGTATCAGACATTTACAAAAAGGAAATGGTAGTTCCGATAGGTTACGTAGTTACGTATTGCGATAGCTTACCTATATGCGCACCTCCGGATCGGCACATAAACGCATTTTCATCGTCTGTTGGTGCCATACTTAGACCTGGAGTTGGGATGGATGGACAAGGTTTGCTGGTGTCACATCTGCGCCTGTGGAGGGATGAGTGGGCGAGGTTCATTGGTGATACACCCCCAGTTAAATATACCTAGGGCAGAAAGATGACATAAGTTACACCGGAGGTTACATTGAACCATTGTCCCATGCATTACTAAGAGACAAAATGTGAGATGCTGGGCTTGATTCGTTGACAAACGACACACCGTGAGGCGTGAATAATCAAATAGACATAAAAGCTCATTTCGTAGCACACCTAGAAACACACCTCTACATTTCAGAAGTGAAAGTCTCGTACCTGCAGAAACGAGCACATGTTCTGTGTGTGGGTGAAGAACTCGCGGTAGCTGTCAAACTGTCGGTCTGTCAGCCGACGCAGGCACGGTCTGACGTCATCCATCTCCTGGCAGCTGATTGGCTGCAGGCCCGAGGTCTGTAGGAAGCAGGAGGCGAACCGCAGCGCCAGCCGCGCCTGGGTGACGTCATCCAGGTGTCGACAGTCGCGGTGCAGCTCCTCCAGCGCCGCCGTCCAGCACTCGCCTGAGCGGGCACAGCCGCTGATCAGTTACAGTTACAGATCAGTAAATTTTAACAAAGCAAGAAAATTGAGGTCCAAATGCCATAGCATACATGGCATAAATGAGGACTAACAAAACAGAAATGCACAGGACAACTGGAAAACATAAAAGTACAGTGTCAGAAATTCTCTCAGAACAGTGGTCTTAAAATGTTGGAATGTGTACGTTGAATAGGTAAGTTATTTCAGTGTAAGTAAATAATGGCATATATGATATAACCTATCACCAGAACTAAGAAATAAGAGAGTTAAGTGGGGATATAAATATAACAAACAACTATGTACTGAAATTACTGAAAATGATCAAGCAGCTTCAGATAATAAAGGAGCTGCTTTTGATGCTTTCTGTCTAAGAATGATACTAACGATGCATTTCAACATTTATGCAGCAGTAAAAAGGAACCTTACCAAAATTAGGTATCTGAGCTTTGTGTGTTAGCATTTCATACTGTTGTTTTCCTTCTTCAATGCTCTGTTGGCTGGGTTCCATCTCAAGAGCAGCAAAAGTCACTGTGATTAGCCACAGCAAATTAGAAAGCAGCAGCTGCATGTTTTATATACTACTCTGAAACAGGTAGGTACACAACATGATGAATTGCACTTAACTGGTACATAACTAGTTAAATTGACACATTTTAAAAGGTAGGTAGCTAAACAGCTTAACAAAGGGCAAAATGCAAACAAGGTACCCACATAACATGCTACTCGTCTCAAAGCACAATTAATGAGTTAAGTACTGTTCTCTCCACAGACCAATGGCCACTGGGTGCTTGCCACAGCCGTGGGGCAAGTCAGATGCTCAAAGAGTATTAAGAATTATGCACAGATTTTAAGCCAAATCTTCATATAGGATTTCCGGTATTTGTTCAGAAAAGGTTCGATCTACAACTGTGACACCCTTGATAAAAAAGTGCAACAAAAGAAATGTAAGGTTAGGTCAGGTTTGATTATGTTTTTTCCTTGTATTTGGGCCACATGTTAATGTACCATGGATTACCTACTACCTATATTACCTACTACCATGGAGTATCTACTTCATCCATGAATGTACCTAAGTATCATATTTGGATTCAAGATGTCAAATAATGTAAAAATATGCAAAATTCACGCTTTGAAAATGAATTGGGCTTTTTAACATTTACCTGATTTCCTTGTATGGCTATTATCAACCAGAATAACTGGAATGAATATACTAATCTAATATGACATAGCCTTTCCTGGCCTGACCTAGTTTACTCTAACCTTACCTATCATACCACATCATAGCCTAAGTTTGACCCAACATGATAATTTTAAAAATAAGTACCTTGGGATAACAGGTCAAGAGTTGTGCTCAAGATACCTATAAGAAACGTTGTGCTGGTTAATTTTTGTCTAGTTATGTTGAGAAGGTAGGTACTCAAACTGGTGGCAGGTGGCGTGAGCAGTGCTTGTTAAATATCATTGCTAGATTTTCATTTGAACGAATAAAAATCCATCTATCAATTTTCTATGAGTGCCATTTTACGTGTTCATGTCCATCTAATTCTACTACCCTGTTATATCAATAAAGGCCATAGCTATCACGTATGTCACCAGCTGGCCAGCGAGCTGATTTTATCCACTTGTTAGTCAGGACCCAGGGTTTGGTAGGGCCCAAACAGGACAAGCTCAGCAAAAAATGATATTGAAAAAGTTCATACCATGACACATTTTATTTAAGGAAGCAATTTGTGGTTACGACTCACATGTTCTTTTTGAGTTTTGTGTCTAAATTTGAGTAGGCAGTAGCAAACCTGAAAATTCTTTCAGTGAAGGTATTAACTGAATTTTTTATCTAAAAAACATCATTTATCACACACGGACCAACAAAACTTTATTTGCAACCACAATATTAATATGAACAGCCATTATCAAGGCCATCTATAGAAGGTACAGTCACTCCCCCGCCGACCAATCAGAGACAGATCCTGAGTGACGTCACCCCTGATGCTCGCAAGGGGTACTCCATTCCTTTACAACGTAAAAATGACTAACTTCATTTCAAGATTATTGATGGCACTCTACACATACCGCTCAACCGTTGATGGCAATCGAAAGCTCAGCCAATTTTCCAGCGACAAAAAAGAGTAGCAATATGCTAAGAAATGGCCGGTTTTTAAGATATAGACGATTTAAAAACCCTCTGCAGCAGCAGGAAAGCAACGTAAAAACGCATCGAGCTTATATTTTTACTATGAATAAATCATTTTTTCAGTTAGTTTTTAGATATGGTATAGATTTAAGCTACAACTTTATTAGAATATTTTCATTACTTGAAACTTTATTTCAAAAAAGTATTTTCAAAAATGGCAGCTGTTGGTAAGTAGCTTGGGAGCGATTGTGGCGCACCGCGCCATTAATTGTCCTGAGGCCCCCTTATGATGTCATCAAAAGTGGAGTGACATGGGCCTGGCCATTATGGCAAGACGTGCAGGAAACGCGAAACTCCAGCTCCAGTCTAACAGTAAAAATAATGTACCAAAAGGAAAGATGTACTAGCATTGGCAACCTCCACAAACACACGAAGTACCTACCTTTTAGTTGTGTTTTGATATAAAAGCAAAAGAATGCCCCAGATGAAACAAACAAAAGAAGGACACAGACAAAAAAAAATTCACAAGTGGGTGCGCCAGAATTGAAACGAAATTTCAAAAGCGCGCCATAAATTGCGCTGCTTTGAGACAAAACAGCTGCAACAAACGGACAACACCACTCGACCGCACTCTTGCAGCCACGTAGCGCAAATCAAAGACCACCATTAGACTCCCAGTGACCAGCTGCATCGAATCAATACCCATTTTACGCAAAAATTTTAACTTTGAAATTTGACCTTATTTTACCTGACCTTGACTCTGACCTGACTTGACCTGACCTTCCTGAGTAATGTAACCTAAACAGTGGCCCTAAAGGTCGCCTAGCTCACACATTTGCATTTGTCATGTATAAACACTAATGTAAAATGGACCATAAAACTTGTAACACACGACACTTTCATATCATATTGTGACCCTCGATGACCTGACCTCTCTGACCTGACCTCTGTGAACTAACCTGGTACCGGGGTACTGGTGACCTAAAATAGCAAAATATGTGTTAGACTATCCATGCTCCATCGATGATTTTCAATAACATGCATTAGCATTTTACTCGATTTTACAACGCATTTCTTGGAATCCATTGGGTGAAAATGCGACCTTTGACCTGACCCGTGACGTTATCGGTTGGGCCGAGAGCAATGCAATTGGGTCACAAGGTTCCAGCGGCGTATTTAGAAAATCGCGAAGGGGGGGGGGCAAGGGTTTGGAGGGCGCCACCTCACCCAAGGAGGGCGCCATACGGTCGCGAGATAAAAAATCGCTCAGTGGGGGTTGGGAGGCGTTTTTTTACCATGCCACCAGTTTTTTTTTTTTTGCGTAACCTCGTATAGGTCGTGCTGCATTGATTTTGCATCGTGTGTATTCTTTATACTCCAGGTCACAAAAGGTCAAGTGTTCTTGAAATGCTGCGCCGAAGGCGCGCGAAATTTTTGAAAACAACCTTTTCCTCCGCTTTTTAGGCACGCCTTTTATACGATCACTGTTCAAAGCTCCTCTCGCTCTTTTACCAAATTTGAAGGTGTAAAAAATAGGTACCTAAGGTTTGGTCGGGCCGCTGCCACACAAACTGTACAGAAAGCTTGGCTCATGGGTGTCGATGTATAAAAGTTTATTGGCGGTGGCATATCTACGCACCAGATCACCGTATCGGATTGATACCGGAGCGCGAGATGCGTAAACATCATCCAAATTACCTCAGACCAGCCTTCATAGCCTTCTCACAGATGCATACAGTGTACCCACATAACCAGTTTCAATCACCGAAACTTCAGATGCCTGCTGTTGCGCCCGAACCTGTTGACAATAGGGGAGAGCGGGGCCAGTTGAAACACGGGGTCAGATGAAACATGGCTTTATTTTCAACAGTATGCAACATATGGCGTTGCCGACACCACTGCGCATCCGCGCTCGACCACTTCCTTTGTCAACGGCGTTTGGGCGGCAAACGGACGGTAATTTTGATTTGACACTTGTTTTTGTGTTTTTGAGGGACGTTTGGAAGAAATCGTTTTGATGAATATTTTGTGATATCTCATATACCTTTGTTTGCTGAAAGAAGAACTCCTGGCTCCGGAATAACACCTTATTTGGCCCTTCATTCAGCATGATGCCGTCCCTCCAGCTCGTTTGACATGTGCTTTACGGCGCGTGCGAGATGGCGGGAGCGGATGGGGTCAATTGAAACGCTTCTCTGAGGGTCAGTTGAAACAGGGTCACAGGCCGTTTCAATGGACCCCGGTGACCTTTGCAATGGTTATTGTTCAGGGGCTGTAAACATTAAAGGAAATAGTCTACCTTTGTAATGAGCTTTTAAACTGAAATAGTAGTTTAATAGAGCTCAATTTTTGACCCCTTTTTCTCCAGCCTTTTGCTTGAAAGCACACTATAGCCTGAGAGTTGAGACATTTCTCATTTTCCTCATCCGCCCATTTTACCATAGTCTATGTACTTTATGTCACCTATTATGAGGAACTTTGCACTTTTAGCTTTCCAACGACCTATTGAATGTAGCATTTGGAAAAGTAAACCGGACAAAATATCTCCTTAAGAAAGTGGCCTTAAAGAGGAAAACATCCCATTGTTAAGGATAGGTGCAATTGACCCCATGGGCTGGTTCAATTGACCCTCGCATCGGGGTCATTTGAAACGGGCGTAGAGCTGTTTTATAAGCATGCGTTTGGCAGCAAAATATGTTTGAAACATAATTTTACATATCTTAAAATAAAGCCAAAAGAGCATATTTTTTTCATGGCATTGTGCATTTTTCGATATGCCAACTAGATCTCGCTGTGCATGTCAATATATAAAAAGTGGTTCAACTGGCCCCGCTCTCCCCTACTCGTAATCCATATAGATGCCATGATGCACGTAAAGTAGGATCAATCCGTTAAGACCAAAGACGTGTTTTATGCATCGTAGAGCGTAGATAGTTTTGGTAGGTATACTGTATAGATACTTCATTCATTGTGCTGAATGCACGTTCATTTGTGGCAGTTTTCACAGGCAAGACATCAACTATGTGCAATAGAACGACTAAGTTGAAAAACATGCCAAAGGAGTAAATAAATGATAGGAGGGCAGCGATCAACGGATGTTGCCAATAGGTAGAAGGGCTGCGATCCACAGGAGGGCACTAATAGGTAGAAGAGCCCCGATCAACATCCCGAGTTTCGACAGTAGGGCACCGATAGGTAGGAAGTTGGCGAGCAGCAGGAGGGCGCCAATGGATAGAAGGGCAGCGATCAACAGGAGGGCACCAATAGGTAGGAGGGCGCCGATCAACAATCAACAGGAGGGCGCCACCAGGTAAGAGGGTGGCGAGGAACAGGAGAGCACCAATAGGAGGGTGGCGATCAACAAGAGGTCGCCAATAGGTGGGAGGGCGGTCATCAACTGGAAGTCGCCAATGAGCGGAAGGGTGACGATTAAAATGGGGGTGGCAATGGTGAGGAGGGCGCCTTTGCTCAAGAGGATGACACGAACAGGAGGGCGTCTGTGCGGAGGGCGCTGGTCAACAGGAAGGTGCCAGTGGATAGGAGGGCGGTGATCAACAGTTACAGGAGGGTGCCAGTGGTTAGGAGGGCGGCGATCTACACGAGGGCGCCAATAGGAGAAGGGCCCCGATTAACATTCAACAGGAAGGACTAGGGAACCAATAGGTAGGAGGGCGGCACTGAACAAGAGGGTGCCAAAAGGGAGAAAGGCGGCCTTCAAAATTTCACATGAGGGCTCAATAGGTAGGAGAGCGCCAATAATTATGAGGACGCCGATCAGCAGAAGGGCGGCAATGTGTAGCAGGGTGGCGACCTACAGGAGGGCGCCTTCGGGTGAGAGGGCGCTTATTTACAGGACAGCGGCTTACATAGGCGACCACCGTTACGCTTAGAGAGCTACAGCCTACAAATGTGGTTGGAGGGCGCCCGAGGGAGCCCTCCAACCGTATTTGGAGGGCGTATTTGGAATGGGCGTCCTCCGAGGGCGCCCTCCATCCGTATTTTCCCTGTAAACACATTCGCGATTGGAGGGCGCCCTCCAGTCGCGATTGTTTTTCGATTCGATTATATCACAATTGCATTTGCGATTGGAGGGCGCCAACATTTGCGATTGGAGGGCGCCTTCGGCGCCCTCCAATCGCAAAGGGCGCCTTCGGCGCCCAAGGGGGGGGGCATGGCCCAGTGGCCCCCCCCTGCCTACGCCCCTGCAAGGTTCGATAGCCCCGGTAGGGCTATCGGTATAGGGCTATCGGTAGGGCTCGATAGGGCTATCGAACGCCGTTTGAATTTTGCTTAACATTAATTTTGCACTGTATGGAACGGCCTATAGAAACGAAACGACTTGGCGAGTCGGGCGACTTGCAGTCAGTTGGAGACCATAAGAACGGTTTGTTGTTTGTTCAGGCCAGCCGACAGCAACTGCCAACTACTACTTGCGAAAGAGGATTTCTCGGACGGGCTACGCCGCGGCAGCTAGTGGTCGTCCAGGCTAATGCCCCCTTCCCCTCCCCCTGATCCTTTTTATCCCGTGGCTCTGAAATGATCGTAGTATGCTCAAATGGCCTAGCCCACAAAAAAGAAAATCCACCATTGCCTGATGCAAGTTTGTATGCAACGATGCCCGGATGGTAAAAAGACACGCAGAAAAAGAAGAAAGAAAGAGGAGAAAACCAGGAAAACGGCCAACTATGAACGAAGTACCATTCGTACTAAATTAAGATAGCAATAGGAAGGCAACTATGGTTGTAGAGCTAACCAATAGGTAATAATTAATAACGCCCCGCTGGGCTATTCAGCCATTAGCCATACGCACCCGGCTGGGGGGGGGGGGGGGCAGACTCTGCCCCTCCCCCGTCTAACTTCCGAACCGATGGTCGTAGAAAGACGGGAAAAACGGCAATCGAAAGCTCTCAATAAGGCGGATCTTAGGAGCCCAATTTTTTTTTTTTGCTTAAGTAGGTCAGAGGTCAGGTCAAGGTCAGGTCAAGGGTACAAAATGCAAGTTTCTTCAGTATCGGCCTTGCACCGTAATTGCCGAAGAATGGACGGAGACTGATTGCCCAAAACGTGTTCTTAGGCTACCAAAACAATACCTATTCTTTGCATAAAATATCGTTCAAAGGTCAAGGTCAAGGTCAGGTCAGGTCAGCTCAGGTCACCAAAAACAAAATAGGTATAGAAAAGGGCATGTGCGACACATGTTTTATGGGTCATTTTATTCATAGAATTCAATAGGCACACTCAATAAGTGATATGGACCACATCTGGATGAATTTCAGGTCAAGGTCAGGTCAAGGTCAGGTCAAGTGAGGTCAAATTTTGAAGTTGGTTGTTAAGGCCTAGCAAGGTGTCTATCTGATGCAGTGTTTCACGGCAAATCCAATGGTGCTATTTTTGTTTCCGTACGAGGTCTAGAACTTCAAAAAAAAAATTTTTCAACAATTTTGTTTGTGGTGACGTCATAAAATTTTGAATAACTCCCACATTTTTAAACGATTTTCTAAAAATTGGCATGTAGGTGCACATAGACCACTTCTCTGACATATATTCCGGTTTT